ATGCTTTCAATGTGCAGTCACTCAGTTTTTACAACTCCATGTTATAGTGTCTGGACTGATACTTTTCTTCTGAAGGGAGTTTATGGAAATGCTCTCCAAGATAATGAGGACACTGTCCAATTCAGCAGTATTAATTAAGGATGCAAGGGAAGGCTTCAGGCAGGACAGTTCAGCAGTTGCTGTTCTTTTATTTGGCATCTTTGAATTATTTTCCTGAGACGAGAATCTCAAGTGTTGTGACTTTGCTGGCAAAAATTAATTTCCTAACTTGAGGAAGGGAATCACTGGTGCCAAAACCCCCGAGTGAACTGTTACACCTCTGCAGCTGATGGCAGGCTGCCATTTTCCATGAGGGCAAAATGGTGTCGGCGTGTGAAACTGCACAATTCAATCCTTTTATATGGTGACCTCATGCAAAGGAGGAAAATGTCATTATAGGAAGAAAAGAATGCTGTGGAAGAATGAACCCTGTGTTTAATAGAATGTGCTCTTTTAAAGAAATTTTCTCTGCAGAGTATTTTAAAATGCTTCTCCTTTCCTATATCCCCTGTCTGTTCCTTCTTGGCATCCAGGAGCAGCTACTCTGGCCCTGCTCACAATCTCACCATTGTTGGTGTAAGAGCCTCTCCTGAGGAGAAAAATGCCATCTGAAAGGGTCTTCTTGTGCTCTTCTGCCTGATAGGCTTTTCATTTGCTTTCAAATATCTGATCAAAACTTCTTCCCTCCTTCCCTTTTGCCTTTAAGTTACATTCTTCACTGTTACCAGTGAAAGAATAATTTATAGAAGAATTTACTGAAGTATTCTGAGACTCTCAATTTTGGAATTATTATGCCTAACTGAAATGGGCTGCCTGGCAATTTTTATTATCTTTATATTATGACTTCTGCCTCCCTATGTCCCCTTCTACTTATGTGAGACCTTCAGAGATGATTGGTCACTACTCAAAGGAAGATGAAGAATCTAGCTATCAAACAATAGCAAAAACAATCCAATTTCTTCAACTCCATTCTAATATCTGCTGCATCACACAAGCACCCAGCACATGAAATAAAAATGAAGGCACAGAATGAGAAGCACTACTGAGAACATGTATAGCACCTGTCTTGCAGTCAGCAAGACTCAAGGAGACTCAGGAGTAGCATTTGTGAAAAACTTTCAGATTAGAGCAGCAGTTACAACTGCACTTTGAAATAAAGACTTGCACTGAATGGTTTTGAGCAGCATAGAAGTGGCAGCACCTGCAAGAAGTAACACCACCATCTTTATCAATGGCCAGTGTTTATTGCATTTGCCTATTGCTGTTCTGCTGTGATCAGGGCTGACAAGGGAAAAATAGAAATACAAAACCTAATTCACTCCAGAAGCTGGTTTTATTCTGTGAGGAAGAAAATGACTTCTGATAACCTTAGCATTCAGCCAGGGATATCTTCACATAAACAGTTACCAACTTTGTTTGAAGTACTTAAGGATAGAGAAAGGGATTTGCAGACCTCATTGCTATGTAAGTCTGGGTGGGACATTTATGTTGATGCAGCAATAAAAGCACATTTCCAGTGACATCACAAAATTCATAAGCACATCTGTGATCAATGTGCTCTAGAAATAACACCTAATATAAAGAACATGGTCAGGAAGGAAAAAATAGCTCCAGTTTCCCTAGCTGTGCATCCAACATTTTTGACTGAGCATCTTTTTTTCATATGTTTTCTGGAGAGCATTTCTACTTCCTTTTCTTGAGGGGAGGGTTCAGAAGAAGCAAGGGGTAGTGTTCCACACTTCAGCCACAGAAATTGGAATATTTTAGAAGATAAAAACATAATGGCAAAACCATAAAAGATACTAGGAATCTCAGAAATGCATATAGTCACAGCTGCTATTTTCTATTTCTGTCTAAATTTTACATGACACTCTTCCCCAAAAGGAATATAAGATAGGCCTTTGTCCTACCAAGTACATGAAGAGAAATTTTATACATATCCCACTAATTTATGAGGGTAGGACAAGTCTGCCACTATACAAAAACAAGACTGAAGCAATAGTCAGGTTTAGAGGAAAGATCATTAATCATCTTTTTGGATAGATGATACAGTATAAATCATGTTTAAAAGAATAATAAAAAAGAAGTATTTCAGAACAGCTATTTCCAGAAACTCTGGATGAAATAGCCATTAATTGCAGTGTGAGAATTCGATGCTCAGAAGTGACAAAGGTAAGAGAAATTTTTTTCAGGTAACTCCAGAGTTAAACTTTAACAACTGCATTACATTTCAAATTCAATACAACCAGGTAAACGAGCTAAGTTGTTGTATAATATTATTCTTTCTGTTCATGCATGATCAAGTGTACATTAAAGATTAACACTTAAAAAATTATTTTGTGAATTCATTTGCCTTTTCCTCAGTGGCTGTCAGGCACACAAAATAGCAGCAGCTATTCTTTACTTACACATATTTATGTTTGTTCTTTCTCTAGGATTTGAAAGACCACCAAGAGAGTTTCTTATCTTTACCCCAAGTCCTTTGCTATATTAAAGCTAGGTATTTCATCAAAGAGTATTTTTCTCTGCTTCAAAAGAAATTTTTGGAATTTTTTTTGCTCTGTAATCTCAGTAAGAGATTGTAAGGAAAATATACGGTATCCTGGTACTTTTTTCCTTGTGTCAGGGCTGGCAAGATTCCCTGCAACTATGTGCAGTAGGACTGGAATGCTGCTAGAAGGAATTCAGTATTAAATGTGATCATTCTCACACAGAGGAGGACTGGCCATGACGCACAACTACAACACAAATACTTTGCAGAAAAGAGAATTTTGGTATCAGTGTGCATTATTTCGGTGTATTATTTATAATTCAACTCATAATTCAGATACATCCTTAACAGTTATCACAGGAGTTGTCCTGGGCAGGTTTGACAGGACTGCTCAAGTTCCTCTGGCTAGGTATACACCTATGAAGAATCTGAGATATCTGTTGTGATATCTCCTTATCAACAGGATTTGGAACTCTCACAAAAAAGGCTCCTTGAGAAACTGACTCAGTGGAAGGTTGAGCAGCCCCTAGGCACACGACTGAGCCATTTGGGTAGACCCTGATCCCAACAAGCAAACACAGAAACTGTTTCAAGTGCTCTGCGAGGCATGACCTAAACACAACAGGGCTTGCCATTAAACAACAGAGGTGGGTCCATAGACAGATACAGAGAGAGATAAAATAGTTTGATAATGTTGGGTGCTTTAGACTGAAAAGCTCCACAAAGCATTAGGAAACTATTACAATACATTCCATCATTTCATCATCTTACAAAAATCCAAACTACCAGAAGTTTGAAAGCTTATTCTTAGATGAGCTGTTTTAAGAAAGCTACTTTGGTTTGTTTACATAGCAGTTTGCATTATTACATAGTGATGGGTATATAAAAGTCCTGAATAATAACAAATGAAATGGGGAAATCCTTGTTTTTTCTGTTATCCTTTCTCACAGAAGAAGCTCTGAATGCTGCCTAGTGCTCTAGTGTTGTATTTACCCACCTTCACCCTCCCAGCTCATGAGCCTGAAGCTTACGAGGGCTGATGTCCAAAGGCTGCTGGGCAGGTGAGATCAACAATGATCAGACCCCTTTTTTCCTAAATGGTCAGCAACAGAAATGAAACCTTCTGCCTCCCTCAAATGGGACAGCTACTTGAGGGGTCTCAATCTATGGCTAACAGGAGCCAGCAGAGATTGTGCAAAGAATAAAGTGCTCTAAAAATTGTGCAATGAGTAAAGTGCTCTAATAGTTTCACTTCCTTTCTCAGAAATTTATCAGTTCTTTTACTGAAGAACTTATTTTTGAATAAGGATGAGAGTCAAGTACAGAGAGAGCATGCAGTTAAAATTTTCAGTGATACCTGTACCAGAGTTCTCTTCTCCAGTGCACAAACATTCTTCACTTTACATTCACGCAAATATTTTTATTACTATATCTAAGATGTTTGAGGTGATGTTTGCAACCAGTGCAGTTCTGCCAACACCAGCAGACTACATGCTTACCCACTAAGGAACTTCCTGAGCCTGAAAAAGCCTGCAAGGGAAGGTTCTATAGTGGATGTTCTCTGTGGATGGATCCACAGAGTGGGTTTGCTGAGGGTGAGGAAGATGAAGCACTGGCAAGTCAGCATCACTGCACAGTTCTGACAAACAGGCAGTAGCAGATCTTGATCTCAGTTTCCCTTTACATGCCAGGCTAAAAGGTGCCAGTAGAGGCACAGATTTATGTGCACACCACATGTCCCTGATTAGCAGTGTCTCTGAGAGGGCCAGGGGAAGCAGCTGGGGCTGGTAACGGCTTCACTCATTCAATTTTAATTGACTGCTGTGTGTTTGTCAGATCCCTCAGAGCTTCTGTTTAACTTGTGCCAAAAGCTGTGCTGGTCCCATTAACCACAGGGAACAAACAAGAAAGAAGTACCTGTCAGCTACAGGTACAGAACAAGCTGTATACTGATGTCTGAATCACATTTTGGATACAATCTGCACTGAATTCCAAGATCACAGACAAATGAGCACCATTCAAGCTGCAAATATAGCCAAATTAAACCTATTCACACAATTATGCATTAAAGGATGCTTTGATTTAGAAATTTCTTGCTTAATTTTCATATTCTGTGTTTGTATTTAGTGTCTAGATGGCTCTCAGAGAACCCTAAGGAAATGCCCATATGTTTCAGAGAGATCGACTACACCACTAGCTGATTACTGAACAACTATGATACAGTGTTTAAATGGTATGCAATCAATCAAACTATTCCAAAGAAAATAAAACAGTGAGTTACAACAGTATTTTATGTATGTTTTTCATTTTGTAACAGTAACAAATTACTTAAGTGAAAGCTTTAGTACAAAAAGAAAGCCAGGCATATATCCATGATGTCTCTTTTAAGCTTTTTAAAGCACATATAAATAATTGTTGATGATAAATAGCAGACAGCAATACTGCTGGGAAAAGGATTTATAAATCTTACCTCTGCTTTTATTTTATTGTCTCCGAAACAGAGGTGTTGTAAGTAGGCTGCAGCATTTGACTGTACTGAGGGAAATTGATGCTGTAACATCTGTATAACTTCTGGAAGCTCTGGATCCCGCCATCCAAACTCTCTGTGCAAAAGCAAATACAAAAAGAAATCAAAAAATCTGCTATTAGTGGATAAATGTGCCAACAGTTAGGTCAACAAAGAAGACAGAAATGTCTAAATAAAATCTTTTTTGTCCCCACTTTGTCAAAGCAAACATTAAAATCAAATTTGAAGCTATTTGTCATTTTAAGCTGTACTCCTCCGGAAAAAGAATTAAACAAAGTATCACTTTGTTTATCAGAAGTTCTGGAAGAAGTAACTGTGGAATTAGTTCTCTAACTGATTAAGTTTTCTAAATAAAAAGGCTACATGAAATCTTAATATACTAAAAGAAAGAAAATGTATGCTCATATCACCACAAATGGTTTGCTATGAAATGCTAATCTGCAAAAAAGTCCTTTTTACTTATTGCTGTCTCTATTCAATACCAATTGCTATCTTATACAGAAAGCAATGACCAATTTTGTCTTCTGTTTGGGTTTGTTTTTCAGATGCAGTCAATGTAAAACTCTTACACATTTCTGGCCCTACTTGAGCACTCAAGTCTTTGCACTTTAATCATACAAAACATGAAACACCATTAGCATCACGTAAAAGAACTGAATTCAAGTATGCAGAACAAGCCCCAGTCTGTATTATGAAGCTTCCAGACCTGAACTTAAAATCTATCACTTCAAGTGAATTTTTCCACTCTAGGTTTACAGGTAAAATCATTCATGGAAATAGCTTTGGACTTCATGTCCCTAAAACCAGAGATACACACAGCCTCTCTACATGATATATTTAGTTATCATATGCCTTTTCCCCAAGAGCTTATTTTTTGTGACAAAGAAATATTTTGACCATTTTCCATCTAGTGATATATTTTTAAGCTAAAAAAGGAAAATTAGGGAAACGCAGAAAAAGAGGTTACTTACAAAAAAGTTCTCTGTTGCAGTTACTGTGATCATCTGGGACCTCATTGCCAAAAAATCCCTGGCAGACCTGTTGCAGACTTCAGCTATAATATTTGGCTAAATATAATACTGATTACAGTATCCTTTCTAAATTATGAAGATTTTTCTGCACTGAGGCCAAGTTTACGTCACAAGGGGAATTCACAGCATCTCTCCAATCTGTCCCAAGCACACTTTAAATACAACAATTCCCCAAAACCTTTCAGGGAAGGAAGACTTGTCTTACAATAATAATGAATTGCTACAGAAAGAGGGATTGTTTATTCTTTTCTCATATGTGATGTTTGCCAGATTGAGTGTTGTCACTACAGTTGTGTCTTTATGGAGATTCAGAATACGAATATGAGATGTAAAACACCACTCAGAATTTAATTGGTTATTTCTCCTCTGCCAAAACGTAAGTTAACTCATAAATATTAGAATTAGTATTAAATATTTAATACAAAGAAACCATAAAGATGTAGTAATAAATCACATATGGACTATTCCAATGAATTTTTAGATGATATAGACTGTTGGAAATCTTTGCAAGAGACATTTGCATAGGTTCAGAAAGATTTTAACATTTAATTGATATTTTGAAAAGTTAGAGAACATTGTAAAAAGTATCAGGGAAGGCTACAAACTTCAGTAGCCAAAGATTGCGAACATCATTGTTTCCAGTTAACCATAACTCTGTCAACAGGTGAAAAGAAAGAGATTCACTGGGCACACTTTTTTTTATGTTTGAATTGCTAGAGATCATAGAAACTTGACAGGGCATCTTCCTCTTACATCTGCTTTCTTTCAATTAACAATATTAACACTTCCTAACAGGTTCTTCAAACCTATTGAACCTGCATTCTATACACACATCTCTAAACAAACCAAAGACATCTTCCAGATTTTTTTGTTTAAACAAAAATAAGAAATGAGAGCAAAATCCAATAAACTAACCGAAGACAAATTAATTATCCTATCTCCATTTCTTATTTATTCTCATTTTCAATCCTAGATGCTAAATGCAGGTGTGGGTAATTTGGAGATCACACAAAATACCAGAAGAAAACAGCCTGAATGACAATACTACAGTACATGTTGAAGTGTTGGAACTTCTACCAACAAATTCTCTTGAAAAGGAAATTTCCCCCTTCTCAACATGTGTACTACTTAATCCAACCAAGAAACAAACCAACCAAAACCAAACCAAACAAAAGGCCATTATGTGCAGTGGTAAATTATGGGCTCTAACCATCTGCTCAGGTTTTTCTTCCTCATGTCCTGGAATCCAGAACAGAACAGGCAATGAGGGGGCAAAAGGAAAAACGTCCCTTCATCAAAGGAAGAGTTAATTGCTCTGAGGTACCTGAAGCCTCTACATGGTATTTAGTATGAAAACAAGCTCTCCCTTCTTTTACACTCTGATCTCCCAAAGCAGTCAGCATATGAGTGAATTATGGCTACTTGTTGCAAATGGATGTGGGCACACTGGATGTAAGCAGCAAATCAATTCAGAAAATAAGCCCTTAGCACTGAATACTGAGTTTGTTAAGTAACCAGTTTTTCGAGAGATAATGAACAAAGCAGGAAAAGAAGTTTAAAAATTTAGCCCTAGTATGGACTGTCATTTTAAGCAGATGGTCTCTAAGATGATTTTATTTTTAGTAGTTTCTAAATGAAATACAGTAGCTACATAAAACAAACAAAAACTTCTGTCAACAGTTAGGGCTGCCTGGATAATTGTGATAATTTTAGCCACCTTCAGGGCAAGAAAGAGTAGTTTCTAAGAGTTTAAATTTTTCATTTGTTTTATATAAGCATTTTATAGGTGGAAAAAAGTGAGACTGAGAAAGAGGATTTTTTTTTTAAGAACAGCAAGCTTGCAGCTCTATTAACATTTATTTAAAAAATTAAATATAGGTTAATTTTTTAAAATTTAGCCTTATTATTAAAAGTTAGAAAGGCTACTTAATGAAGTCATCTGACAGATGCCTGGAGAAGGAAGGAGGACTGGTATTCCTTAAAGACAAAGGCACAAAATGTATGTGGAACAATTTGCATGGATGTGGGGGAAAATCAAGGCCATGCCTCCAAGCATACCTACTTAAATGACAAAAAAAAATGTATTAAAATAGAGAGCCAAACTAAAAGTAACAACTAGTAGGAAAGACCTGGAATTCAGTGAGTGATCTTTTACTCCCTACCAACGAAAAGCAGCTGGGTCAGTATTTGACAGAGATGAGATGAAAGGAAAGTAGAAGGTTAATGAAAATCCAATCTACCTTGATTTCTGTGAAACATCTGATACTGTGCCACATGCAAATTGACAAAACTTGCATTTAGTAAAATTATAAAGTAGAATTAAGCGGAATTTGAAATCACAGTGAACATCCTAAACAAACACTATCTAAGCCTGTGCCCTTATTAAAACATCACCATGCTTACAAAATCTGAGCGAGGCAATCCACACAGATGGTGAAACAAGCTGAAAGGCTGGAGTAAATCTGAGGAGGTGTGTGGCATTTTGAGAATGTTAACAAAGTATCTGTGTGGTTGATCCAAAAATTAACAGTAAGGTAGTAGCTGCACACGCAAGATCTTTTCCTAATCTACCATTTGCCTATGATTTCCCTGGAGTAAGAGCACTAATCCATTTAGGTCAGCCAAAGGCTTCTGCTGGCAGTGTGAGTTTGTCCACAAGAGAATCCCAGCTGTACAAGAACTTCACAGTTTGTCTGGAAATCAGCATTTGCCATGGACTCCAAATATTTTGGCAGGTTGTAAAAGTGCATTTTTTCTAGGAAGCATCTTCATCTGAGGAGACTGACTGGAACACACCAAGGTGTTCCAAACTTCTTTTTTTGATGAAAATTGTGGTCTAGGATTGTAGGATTGATCTGATTGTGAATCCTGCAGAAGGTTTTAGCTTGAAGTGGTGACCAAGGCAGATGTTCCAGGGATTGCACCAGACTGCTGCTCCTGTAAGTAGAAGAGGAACCAAGGGGGAGCTCAAAGCTCTCTGTAAACTGGCAATATATATGCCTAGAGTTATTCCAAAAGGCTATGCCATATTATGAAAAACTGAAGAGAATCAAGGAGGAGTTCTACACAAGACACAACTCTGACATAGAAGCAGTAGCACTGAGAAATCCAGGCTGACTTGGGTACTGCAAGTAATGCACTGAAAACAGGTCCTGCTCCTGCTATCATATCACATACACATGCCAGGAAGTAAGAGAGATGCAAACTTAAAAAGAGATTGTTTGCAATACAGCTGGGTGCATTGGCTCTGTGGGTTCACTGAGAAGTGCTGCTGAACACAGACGATGTACTGCATCTGAATATTTGCTTTAATTATGCCAGAATTTTCTCCTTCCGCTACTGAAAATGCTGATGGTACACAGAAAAGCAAAACCAAAAATCCTGTTACATATATATATCTGCACTGATTTTAAAAAGGCTACTAAGTGAGTTTTAAAACCACAGGTCTCCAGCTGGTAACTAAGGATGCTGATTGCTTCTACAAAGCATTGCAAGAGCAGGTGTGATGGCTCTGTCTACTCCCCAGCCATTGGTCACAGTGAATCTCACGAGAGCTTGGTTCTTATTCCTGATTTACATTATTAGAGCAGAACATTCACATCTGATCAGGCAGTTGGCACAGGCAAGCACTGACACCCAGAGCTATTCCTGTCTCTGCAGCATTCCCCAAAGGCAGTGCTGTGAAGACGCCCGCTATAAAGAACCATATGCTTGACAAAGACTGAACTACCACCAAGCATTTATCAAACAAAGGGAATGCACAATTTTTTATTACAAGATTGTTTAAACCAAACTTGCCTGTGTGCTCCTGGTTGTCTTAAGATGCATGTGAAACAGTCAAACTGGAGAAGGAAAGTTTTTCATATATGAAGTGGTGCTCAAAAGCAAAGGCAATTCAATTTGAGCTAAGAATATTTCCTGAATTTTTATCTCATATACATTGTGGCATTGTTAATGCCAGTCTAAAAGATTTTCTGTTGAATTTATCCTACAGACATAGACCCTTCTGTTTGCTTCCTCCCTCAATTCAATAAATAAAGTCTGA